AGACCCCCTCCCCGCCGCCGCCCGCGTCCGGGAAGGTGAGTGGGGGAGGGGAGATGGAGCCCAGGGCTACCGAGGAGCCGCGAGCTTGTGGAAAGGTCTGCAGGCCTCTGGGCGCGGGGCAGCTTTGACAGATAAACGGGAAACCGTCCTCTCCGAGGCGGGGACGCGGAGAGGGGAAGGGAGTGACCGTAAACGGAGAGGGGAGCGCTGGGCACCTTCAGGATTTCTCAAGGCAAAGCCTTAGCGGGTCGGTGGGTGCGGAAGGGATTGGGCAGTGGCGGATGCAGACTGGGCTGGCCTGCTGGAAAAGGGAAAGGATTCGCTCCTCTGGACGCCACGGCGCCCCTTCCCCATCCGCAAAGGTTTTCTCTTCCTTCTCCAGCTCCAGCCTGAACCATGTTTTTCACCTGTGGCCCAAATGAGGCCATGGTGGTCTCCGGTAAGTATTATTCTTATCCCAACCGGGGGCCCCCAAACCATTGTGAGTCTGGCCTTTGCCCCTTCTCCCTCTCCATTCAGCTTTCCCCAGCTCCAAGCTTCTACCCCCGATGGCTGAAAATTACCCACTTGTGATTCCCACCCTTCCGAGGCCCAGACTGCTTAGCCTCCACCTCCCAGATTCTCTCCTGTGAATTGCTACCCCACCCCAGTTCCTCAGTCTTTCACATTCACGCCCTACCACAGCCGCTCACTGTCCCTCACCTTGCAGGTTTCTGCCGAAGCCCCCCAGTCATGGTAGCTGGAGGACGTGTCTTTGTCCTGCCCTGTATCCAGCAAATCCAGAGGTAGGTAGGAAGAAAATCAGGGAAGAGGAACCTCAGTTTTCTCTTTTTCCTCCTTTTCTTACTGTCTGTCCCTTCTTCTTCCCCTAGGATCTCTCTGAACACACTGACCCTCAATGTCAAGAGTGAAAAGGTTTACACTCGCCATGGGGTCCCCATCTCAGTCACTGGCATTGCCCAGGTGAGGCTTTCAGAGCCTTTCCCCCAAAGTCCGCTCCCCCATACCTGTCTCTCCCAGACAGCCCCGCCTGCAGAGAAATTTCTCTGCTAGTCTCACTTTCTCCAGGCACCCCCCAAGGCTTTTGCCCCTTCCTTTTCTACCTGAAACAGAAGAAGCTTCTCTTAGAGGGCTTCCCCTTCTCTCCCTACTTCTTTCCTGGTTTCATGAGACCTCCACCACACCCTTCCTACACCTGACTACAGGTGAAAATCCAGGGACAAAACACCCTTCCTCTGACTACAGGTGAAAATCCAGGGACAAAACAAGGAGATGTTGGCTGCAGCCTGCCAGATGTTCCTGGGGAAGACAGAGGCTGAGATTGCCCACATTGCACTGGAGACTCTGGAGGGCCACCAGAGGGCTATCATGGCCCACATGACTGTGGAGGTGGGCCTGGCAGCAGGGAATGATCTGGAGGGATGCCAGAATGAGGGAGGGCAAGGGACTGAGCTAGTCTGTGAGAGACAGTGGATCTGAGAGCTTATATTTCTTCTTCCCGTCATCCACAGGAGATCTATAAGGACCGGCAGAAATTCTCAGAGCAAGTTTTCAAAGTGGCTTCCTCAGATCTGGTTAACATGGGCATCAGTGTGGTTAGCTACACCCTAAAGGACATTCACGATGATCAGGTAAAACTAGGCAGTTAATCTTTCCCCACTTCTCAGCTCCTGTCTCTTAAACCCTCTTGAGGACTCCGATTTCTATTCCTCTCCCACAGGACTATTTGCACTCTCTGGGCAAGGCTCGAACAGCTCAGGTTCAAAAAGATGCTCGGATTGGAGAAGCGGAAGCCAAGAGAGATGCCGGGATCCGGGTGAGAGAGATGGGAGTTGCTCGGTGGGAAAGGGGATAGAAGGTACACAACTGAGGAGGGGCTGGTGGGGCTGGGTTGACAGGGGAACTAGATGAGGAAGGGAAGCCTGGTGGAGAGCAGGCTGTCACTCCTGGCCTTTCTCTCCCTGCCTAATCTCTGTTTGGACAGGAGGCTAAAGCCAAGCAAGAAAAGGTGTCTGCTCAATACCTGAGTGAGATCGAGATGGCCAAGGCACAGAGAGATTACGAGCTGAAGAAGGCCGCATATGACATCGAGGTCAACACTCGCCGAGCACAGGCTGACCTGGCCTATCAGCTTCAGGTCAGGGCCACCACACTGGGCACATGGCCAACCTGCTCTTTGACCCTTTCCCATTCCTCTCAGCCACCCCTTTTTCTCATATTCCAACTTTGGTCTTATTCTGGCTCTCCATCTCTGGCCCAACTTCCCTGTACAAGGAAAGATTTAAAAGGCTAAAACGTTTAAGCTGAAAAGTGAAGAAAGACCAAGAAAAAATATGATCAATAGGCTTGGTCATATGTTTGGGCAGGTTGTGCCTTGTGCAGAGGTACCTAACTGAGGACGTGAACCAAAGCTAAGATCCAGCCTGTGTCCCACTAGCCATGTGGTACATTCTGGTATAGGCTTGTAGCAGCCCTGGTGATTAAAGAAGGATGTGAGGAGCCGCGCTCAGTGGCTCAGCCTGTAATCCCATGCCTTTGGGAGGCTGAGGTGAGTGGATTGCCTGAGCCCGCATGTTTGAGACCCGCCTGGGCAGCGAGACCTCATCTCTACAATAAATCAAAAAATTAGCCGGGCGTGGTAGCGCATGCCTGTAA